TTTGTATTTTTGTTAACAAACATAATAATAAAAAATGTTCATTGTGGTAAATGAAATAACATGTTGATCTAATTAAGAGTTTTTTTTTCTTCCAATTTGTAAAAAATCCTCATGTGATAGAAAAAAATTAATATTATTTTTGCAATCTACTGTAGCTGGATTATGTAAAATCCATTATTAAAACCAAAACAACTTTAATACAGTTTAAATTTGCAGGCCTCTGTTATTAATGCATTTTAAAGAACATGCAAACTTAAGATCTCCAAAAATACTTATACATGCCCTAGGTGAATGTGATGTTCCTGTTCATTTTAATTTGCTTAATATTTTGGCTAGAGCTAATGATGAACAGAGCCTCTGAATAAAGGAGAGTTCACTGGTATTTAAACTGGGGCCTGAATTCAATGTTCTCAGTTCTGCTAACACACTGATGTTAAAACTATAATATAGTATTTTCTTTAAGTCTGTTCTATAGATCTGTGTTTCATATTCATGTAGTTGAAGTTTTCTATTGATAAAGCCAATTAGGAGAAAAATGTTTTAATGTCTTCTATGTACCATTATGCATTTAGCTTTTATTGTAGGTGAACCAAAAATACCTCTTGGCACTGATGTAGCTGAGAAACCTTCATTTCAAGTAGTTTTTGTTTTAATTGAATAATATTTTCCCATAAACATTTGAAATTTAATATTTAAAAGTGAAAACTTCAACTAGTGCTTGAAATGACTGGTCTAGGTACTGCACAACTTGAACTATTTTAGGTGAAAAATTATTTTAAATTTACGAATATATGATATTAACCCTAATCTAAATACTCTTGGTACAAACCCAATCTCTTTTCTTGAGTATTAAATTTTTTTTTATTTTTTTATTTAACATTATGGTCCTTATTGCTTATGGCAATATTTTTGTCAATCTCTTTGTAAAGTTAGAACCTAAGATATTTAATTGAAGTGTCAGTGTCTAGTCAACATACAGTGCAGTATAGAAGTTGTTTTCTCTGATATTGATTTGTTTGTCTCTTGTGTATATGTTGTTTATATTTTCTGATGGATGTTTTTTGAAACCTTTATATTACTTGGCTTCATAATTTCAAACCACAAAGTAATGTTTTTGCTGTTGAAACTTCACTTGAGAGAAAAACAAAACAGTCATCATGTATGAAGAAGGCATTTTATTTTCTTATGTTTGTCTTGCATTTAATGGAACTAGTTTTACAATTTTCAAAAGTTTTGCAACTGGAATGGTCATAGGAATGAATAAAATATTATGACTAATATTAATATAATATCTTAAAAGTGATCTAATGGTAGGTACTAAAAGACAATTTTATGGAACTTTAAAACTTGATTTAATGAAAAAAAGAGTGCTGTATTATTTTTTATTCACTACTGGATGTGACTATTGAATATCTGAGCATTACAAGTAAATATTCATTGATTTTATGTTAGGTCCACCTGGGAGACCAGGACCACCTGGCCTACCAGGAAGATTGGGACCTAAGGGAGTACAAGGGGTCCCAGGAGAGAGCCTAGGGGCAGAGTTTGGACCAAAAGGAGAAGTAGGTGATCAGGGTTTTAGAGGACCCCCAGGAACCCCAGGACCGAAAGGATTCATGGGAATCATGGGAGCTCCAGGTACTCTGTTATCTATGTGTTTGTAATCCATTTACATTATGTAAAGTGCAAATATAATGTTAAGTGGCTGTTGTGTGTGTTAATGTGTAATCTTTCTGCATTAAAAATTTGGCAAAGTCACAAAATAAAAACTCTCATTTATGTTTATTCCCTGAAAGGGGGGCTGAAGGCTGCCTGGAGTGATCACTTGTTTTAATCATTTGCACCATTCTATGATAATGTGTTATAATTCAGTCAATCAGTAGACAATAAAATGATGTCACACACTGGACAGTTAACATTACAATTTCTAATGTCATGATGACAGCAAAATGTGTGCATGCCATGAATCACGAGAAAAATTATGTACCCTGTCAGCTACAACACAGCGTGACATATGAACTTCAAACTTCTTTTTAATGTGAAATTTGGTTTCATTTACCCTTGAAATGGAACACTTTCGGGGGCCCTGCAGAAGTTCATCCAGTTGTAGTTTTGTATTATTAACTGTTAAGTGAACATATCAGATTATTATCATTTTTCATCTTGAAACATTTTATGTTTAATATTCAATGTACATTCAAGGTAACAAGTTAGCCATCAGCTTTATATGTGTGTGGAGGTGATCTTTTTGCAGTAGATATTCAGTACAATCATCAAACTATATCTGTATTATTTAACATTAGGTACGTAATTTAAGTCGTTGCCATTTTTCTGTGAAATGTATTATACAAACTGCTCATGTTTACACAAGTTGTTATTAGCTTGTTGTGGACCATGATTTTTAAGTGCAAAAGCAATCTCAGTTTTAAGATTGTTCCACCAGGTTTATTTATATTTCTGTGTAGTTTGTATTTCTGGAATCAAGTTTTTGTCATATATATATATATATACAATTTTCTCATAAGAGGTTTTCAGTATATAAATTTGTCTTGAATCATTAGGTATACTTATTTCACACATTTGTTAAGTTGTTTGTGTGTGAGATTGTTGGGGTTTTACTTGTTTAGTTTTCTCAAGTTATTTTGTTGCTATGCCTTATTAATCAGTATTGTTTAGACTTGTGAATATTATTCTCTTACTAGGAAATGAGGGAGTGAGGGGAGATAAAGGATATAGTGGTTTCCCAGGCTTTCCAGGAAGGGATGGCTCTCCAGGACGTCCTGGAGTAAAAGGAAGAAGTGGACTACCAGGCTTTCCTGGTGTTCCAGGATCAAAGGTAGGTTCAGTAACGCTGTTCTATCATCTGAAGTAATGTTCAAGTTCATGTTATATAGATTCAAAGGTGAAATTATGGTTTGTTTTTAACAACCATATAATCTACACCCGTTTTATCTACCTAAAAAGCTTCTTGGGCCCAACATGGCCAGGTGGCTAGGGCGCTCGACTCGCAATCTGTGGGTCATGGATTCGAATCCTGTCACGCCAAACATGCTCACCCTTTCAGCCGTGGGGGCATTATAATGTAACGGTCAATCCCACTATTCGTTAGTAAAAGAGTAGCCCAAGAGTTGGCGGTGGGTGGTGATGACTAGCTGCCTTCCCTCTAGTCTTACACTGCTAAATTAGGGATGGCTAGTGCAGATAGCCCTCGTCTAGCTTTGAGCTTCCTCCAGGTTACAAAGCTACCATTGAGCATGTTACAAGACACTTTTTTAAACTTTAAAGAACCATTATTTCTACTTATTCTTAGTTTATCCTAGTTTTACTAGTAGAAAAATTTATATGACTGTAAAACTTTCAAAAAATAAGTTAAATATCACCTTTGTTTTAAAAACTACTCTGGATCAGTCTTTACTGCTACAAAAAAATATCCACATGAGATACTGACTGGAAATATGTAAAAGTTTGGCCACTAAGATTAAGAAGCTTTTTGGTTTGGTTTGTGTGTTTTGAATTTCCTTTTATCTTAGGAACTCATTGAAATGGGTCCCTCTATTTAACTTCTGTAAGTCTTTATACTTTATTTTATAAAATATAAAAATACTTTATATTTGTGAAGTTTCATTCACTAAATTCAACATCTAAGAAGCTATGAACACCAACTCTTAGTGAAAGATAAATATTACATAAGACATGAGTGCAATTCAAAATGATAATTCAATCAGATGACTGGAAAATATTTATTGTATTACATCCAAAGGGAGAAAGAGGTATAGTGGGCTTACCAGGACAAAAAGGATCTGTTGGTGATGAAGGAATCCCTGGAAGACCTGGACCAGAAGGACATAAAGGTCAAGTTGGAGACACAGGAGAACATGGACGACCAGGTATTGTACATATGTTAGTGTTTACTTTACTATTTTAAATATGAAATGGCACAACCAAATAAATAAAGAAAAAGTAAACTTAGTCTTTTATGTGAAGAAATCTGAAAACTATTAAAAAAAGCCATTTTTTGTATTTTTCTGGTTTTTGTTTCCTTCTATGGTAATTGCATAACATATTTTGGATTAGTTTCATGTCTCTGTGATTTTATCTTGTATTATTTTTATTTAAAATGTGTATTCAGGATTGTTTTAGCTCCACATAAGACTTAATATTGTAAATTCATCTACATTATTTTTGTTTTACTTATACTTTAATGTGAATGAGATGTTCTTCCTGCGGGCTGAAATAAATGTCTTTGTCAAATTATCATTTTTTACAATAACAAATATTTAAGAACTTCTAGACAATAAAGACCTTTCTTAAAATTCAAAATCACTTGTATACATCAATGGAGCTTTAACTCTTATTTCAATTTTAACAGGTCTCCCATCAACTGAAGTCAGTAGAGGTGATCGTGGTGAACCTGGAGTGCCAGGACTTCCTGGATATCCAGGAGAGAGAGGAGAATCAGGGCTATCAGGATTACCTGGGTTGAAAGGACAACGAGGAGACCCTGGATTTGAAGGTTCTCCTGGAATCCCTGGGAGAGATGGTTCCAAAGGTACATTCTTTATGAACTTCACAGATTCATGAACATTCTTAGTTTAAGTAGAAGATAATTCATTTTACAGGAGCCTTTACTGGTCATGTTGTTTTTCTAGAAGATGATTCATTGTAAATTAATCTTGCTTTACTGGTCATTATGTTTTTTTTTGAAGATGATTAATTTTACAGAAGTCTTGCATTAATGATCATGACATTTTTTGTAGAAGATAATTTATTTTACAGGAGTCTTGCTTTACTAATCATGATGTTTTTTGTAGAAGATGATTAATTATACAGGAGTCTTGCTTCACTGGTCATGATGTTTCTTGTAGAAGATAATTAATTATACAGGAGTCTTGTTTTACTGTTCATAATGTTTCTTGTAGAAGATAATTAATTATACAGTAGTCTTGTTTTACTGTTCATAATGTTTCTTGTAGAAGATAATTAATTATACAGGATTCTGCTTTACTGGTCATGATGTTTCTTGTAGAAGATAATTAATTATACAGGAGTCTTGTTTTACTGTTCATAATGTTTTTTTCTAGGAGAAAATCCACAATACATAAGTTTTCCTTTAATATTCATAATGTTTTCATAGAAGATAATTCATTTCACCAGAATCTTGCTTTACTGTTAATAATGTTTTTTTTTAGAAACTTGGAGTGTAGTCTGAGATATTCAGTAAAAACGGTGTTGATGAAAATTTGAAATAAAAATAATATTCAAAATTTAGTGGAAATAAACTTTAGCTCCAAAACGGTGATGTTGTATTGAGTTTTAGTTTTAATAGAAGTGACAAATAAGAGCTGTTGAAAACAAATCTGGCCTTTAGCAGAAATAATTAGCTGTAGCTAGAGCCTGTTAGCAATCTTTTGTTGTTAATAATAATAAATCAGATTTTTCTACAGTATAGTCATTTGTTCATTCACATAGGTTATCCTGGAGAACCTGGTGGGGTTGGTGAAAAAGGGTTACCAGGCTATCCAGGTGAGTTAAATCTCTTAGGTAAAGCATCATAGTTTGAACTGATTATCTGAATCTCTTAATAACTGATTTTGAAATTCAAAAACGTAAATGACACAATAATTCTGTAGTAATTTGAAAAATATAATATTTTTCATAGATGGAAGCTTGTTTCTCAGTTAAATGATAATATATTATTTCATTACTGCTGTAGACTAATTAGTAGGCCTATACTTTTAAAATGAAACACATAGTACTATTGGCAGTTGTTAAGAAGGAATATCTTTAATGAAATTCTTAAACACACATCGAAAAGATATAAAAATTGGGTGAAGCTGAGACAACATATTTTTTCTTAGAATTGGAGTCTAATAAATAATTTAATAACTTTTAACAATATCTAATTCAAGAACTATTTCTTCTAACAGTTTTTTGTGTTTTCACATTTTGTGTTTTAATAACTCTTTTATACTACCAACAAAATAAAAACATTACTAAAATATGGATTTCAGATTCTCTTTAGAAAAAAAAATTAGTCATTATTTATTTTTTTTAAATATTACAACTATTCATTTAGATTTTCTCTCCATACCCAAATGTTCTTTCTTTTGAAGAAAAACAATAACTTCAACTTTTCTCTCTCTTATATCTATATATATATAATAGTACTGTCTGTTGAATGTCCATGTAACTACTTCACAGGGTGTGGCTGGATCTTCACCAAAATTAGTATGAAGGCTCATTAGGACCATGTGGGGGTACATACAAATTTTCAGTCTTGCATTTTGCAGTTTTTGTGGGCATTTTTGCATTTTTTACCATTACTTTGCCCCCTGTTGATGGATCTTCACCAAATTTAATATGGAAGCTAATTAGGTCCATGAGGAGATGCATACAAATTATCAGTTTTGCATTTTGTGGTTTTTATGGGCATTTTTTACCACTACTTCATGCCCTATAGATAGATCTTCACCAAATTTTGTATAGAGGTTGTCATGATATAAAAGACTGTTTAGTTTAGATATTATTGATTAATTTATTTTTGTGAGTGAAAATTTTATTATTGTTTAGTTTTTGTTATAATAAGAATTAAATGCAGACGATTATAGGAAGCTTTGTTAATAATTCAGTGATGTTGAGACTATTGAGAATATAGAAGGCGGGAAGACAATTAAGTGATAAAGATATAGATAGTGTGAGACGAGCAGAAGCAGCATTTAGATAATAGCAAAAAAGAGTAAAGATACAGGCCAAGAAAGAGTTTGGTGTGAAGTTAACTACCATAGAAGTGATAGGCCTAACGACTGACATAGGCCTAATGTTTAATATGTTAGAGTAAGACTAACAGTAGAAAAGGAGATAAGAATAATAATTTTTTCCCTCAAAGTGTGGTTCTAATGTAATTGAATCAGCCTGAGTGCACTTTTACAAAAGGAACAGAGGATACTTAGAAGAAAGAAGACCAAACAATTATGGTAACTCATGCCACAATAGTAAGTAAATCCCACACAGAATACTAGTGCGATAGTAATAGAGAAGATAGTCGCCTTGTCAACTGAAATTATAAAGTAACTGAATAGGCCTAAGTGGACTTTTCACAAGAAGAAGAGAACTATACATATCGGATTTATGATATGCCTATAACCTCTATAGTGTGAAGAATTTGTTGTACATACGTTTAACTTGTTTCAAATATATATATATATATATTCTTTTGAAAAACAAGTGAAGTGTGTGCTCTTTATTTATCATTGAATTTATCGCCAACAAGTCACAGATGCCTACTGTAGAAGAATCCTAAGCCCAACAAGAACATAATATATATTTATACTATTAAGAAATATAAGTAAAAGCCTTTTATTTTGCCAGTTGGTGAAAAAGAGAAAATAAATATATTTTAAATTCTGAATGAAGCTCATTGGGTCCATGGAGAGATACATGCAAACTTGTGGCTTCACAATTTGTATGTTGCAGTTTTTATGGGCATTTTTGCATGTTTTACAATTACACATAAGGAAGCAACTTTTCATGTCCAAAGGTAACCTTTCATTAATCATGAATTTACATAACTTCTCTCCAGCTAGTATATATATATAAAGATTACTTATTTTAAAAAATAGAAGTTTAATTTTGCTCATTCTATTCATGGTTACTGCATGTTGTTTCCTTCTGTAGTTTAAAAGGTGTGTAGTATTTATATAGTATTGTCAGAGATGATACAATAAAAACTGTTCTAATTTAAAAATCTTTTGAAACATAATTATGATCCATCCAAATGTCTTCTAAAACCTCCTAAATGGCTCTGTGTAGTTTCAGTTTGTATTTCTATAGGTAATTCTGTTTTACAAATTTGTAATTTTCTAAATCTCTACAGGCTTACATTATCTAATTGGAAATGCTTTATTCATTTATTAGAAAAGCAAACTTTGATTTGTTGACTTCCCAAGTAGAAATGTATTTCAGTGATGTAGAATACTTTGAGAAATGCGTTCAGAAGGCAAGTTATACTGTTAACATTGTTTTGGAACATCACTGTGAGGGTATTGACTATGAGTACCCAAGCCATTAAGACTTGTTAATGTGGAGTAGGGTATGAGTGACCGAAAATGAATGTTAAGTAACTTTATTCATTAATTATAAAAGTAATTTTTTTAAACATTATTATTCATTATTTTGAAATGTGGAATTTCATTATATATTTTGTTTATTTTTAGCTAGAAAGTTACCATAAGGTGTATTTTCTGCTAGCACAGCAATTGTAAAATTAGGCCACAGGTTGCTTAGTCAACATTCACTGAAATGAAGAATAACTAATAACTCATTTTTCTTTTACATTATACAGTTGTAGCTTATTGTACACTGACTATCCACTTTATCAGATCACCCCACCCTCTCCACAACTGTTTGTAGGACAGGTCATTTACTTGCATATGCCATACAACTTAGATGATTACTTGAGCTCTAAGATGCAGGGATATAGTCATTTCATGGTTAGTATGCAAGAAAATAAGTTATTATTATGAACTTCTGATAAAATAATAGCTAACTGAATAGATCAGAACTATGAAGTAATTTATATGTTAAGGAAGCCAGTTCTACAAAAAAAAACTCAGACTACAGGCTTCCAATGTTGAACAAAATCCAAAAACATTGTGAATAAATGCAGGAGGGTAGTAAAAAAAGAACAAATGAATGTGAAACGTAAATGTGTTTCACAGTATATCCACATGGAAGACAGCAGAAGTGGAGCAAACCTGTAAAGAGAGGAGTGAGACCAATATGGCATACACTGGGGTCAAAAAGTTATATCAAGCAGAAGAAAGCAAAACTCAGTAAAGCTACTTCATAATTCCAACAAAAAGTAAAACTAGGCTAACAATATGGGACAATTTCTGTCAACAGTGTGATCCAGCAGACCCTACCATACCAAACTAATTGTGGAAGTTGTCAAAAAATTATGAAAAAATCTATCAAGGGGATGTGTGTTAGGGCCAAAGGATACCAACAAGTGAAGGTATTAGGAATGACAAAGAGAAAAGTAAATCTTCTTGCAGAAGTTTAGGAACCAGCTACAAGAAGGTGGGCAAGTCTTTATGAGACAAGCATGGCAGAAAGTGATTGACAAAATTCAACAGGGATCCGACTCATGGTCAGAAACATCAGTGATGCTGGAATAATTGGAGAGAATTCTTGAAGTGACAAAGAGGGATCATTCACCAGTACCATATGGTGTGAGATACTCCAAAATAGAAATTCTCTCCATGGAAGAGAAAGTAAACCTTGAAATGATCAATTTGGCAATGATGATGGGCTGCTCAATAATAAATGTATGGGTAATGAACGTGGAAAAGGTAGCCTAGAAAAAAGATTCCCCAAGACCCAGAAGAGAGAGAGAATGTATGCTTACAAGATGGGAGGGGCAAGACCAAAGAGATCCACAACCTCAAATGTAAAAGCACTCATAACTAGCACCCAGCAGTGTAATCAGACATCACACCACAGCATTATTGGGCTAGTTGACTTTGAATATGTCTACACTTGAGTGGATATTGGCATTTTGGCAACAACACTAAAAGTTCTGGGAGTGTGGACGTTCTCATATGATGTATATTGGATATTTTGGATACCAGGTACTATTAGTTGAAACTTGGCAAGAATTTGAAGCATATGAGGATGCTAATTTAAATTAGCGAGGCGTGGAACAGGACTGATCACTAATCTAGGAGAAACCAGCTGTCTATATGTTTCCTTAGGTGGCATTTTTTAGTACAACACATAAAAGGCTAAGTATAGTTTTGAAATTAAACAGGTTCATCATTCTGATTAGTAAACACAGAATTTTTCCTAGCAAATGCCCATTGGCCTACAGTGAATGTAAAAGCTCACCTTCACATCACTGATGATACTATCACTAAAAATGCAAGAGTTTTTGTAGCAGATCTCAGTTTAAGTATCAGCATTTTAGATTAAAACTTCCTATAGATGTTACCTGCTAACATATTTTGTGTACCAGTTGACCAAAATATGCACAAGAGCAGTGGACTGCATGAGTGTATTTAGATGTCATTACAAATCTACATAATACACAAGAGATGTTTCATGAAGAACTATAAATAAAATCTGAATTGCACAACCTTGTGATAGAAAAAATGCCCAAAACACAATGTGTTCTTGCTCAAAAATAAGCCGAGACTACACTTGAGACTACTGATGGAAGATGTGCAGATAATTTTAATTTCAGATCAGCAGAGAAAGCATGGTAAGTTACTGATAGAATTAGGCAGTTGAACATGATAACACATACCAATTCATTTCCATTGCTTTGCATGAATCTTCCCGGTTTAGCTCATTAGGTCTGACCTCTGTCTATTGGCAAATTGAACAAGAAAATGAAAGCACAACCAAGACTGCTTTCATCGCTCAAGAAGGCTTATATGAATTTAGCATCATGTCATATGGTCATTGTATGCATTAGCTGCTTATGATGGTTGATGAAACTTGCATTGCATGCCTTGAATTAAAAG